CCCCTTCTAACCCTAAACCCGTTCTCGTCTCTCCCTGCCCACTGTAGCCGTTGCTGCTTTACGTTCATCTGTCTGTGTGTGTTGGTCTGTTGGTTTCTCTTAGCTTTCATATATATTGCTGTTGTTTGTTTGTATGTTTGCCGCCTACTTCTATCGCCTTTCCTCTCTGTCCTTTTCTCCCCAGGAGATACAGCAGAGGAGAACGCATAAACCCGAAATATGTATGACGTTACCTTCCCCTTTTCTCTTACTTTGTTGGTTGACATGTATTTAATCATTCACTTCCTCGCTTACCTTTATTTGCCCCGAGTGGGCAATTATTTGCAGACGCTAAACCCTAAACCCTAAACACCAATCCCTAGTATACCTGCCCGCCTACCCCTCTAAACCCTACAACCTGCACCCTAAAGCCGGAGAGGCTCACAAAGCAGGCCTTTGAGGCAAAGGCGCGTGCGCCATCTTATTATCAAATCTTCAGGGTTTAGGGTTGAGGGTTTTGTTTAGCGTGTGTTAAAGCTTATTTAAAGACAGCAGCGGTCTCTCTGTAAAGCCGTTGTGTCTGTTCGTTTGGGGTGTACGTACTGCTCAAGATTCTGAGGTGTACGGACACCTACTTCAAACGTTGTCTAGAAAAAAACAAAAAACTGGGGAAAAAATAATTGGGGTGTATGCACACACTCTGCCATCTGCTGCAGTGCACTTACTTCATGCATTTATTACATAGTGAATAAGAAAATAATTCTGACTAGAGAGACAATTACTCCGTTTATTTTAAATGGAGTAAATGGAACTCTCAGACAAACTCGGCGGCTCCTCAAGGCCCTTCAGCTCCCCGTACAGCAGCTGCTGTTGCTGCTGCCCTTCTTGCTGCTGCTTTTGCGGGTGCTCCGCTCCTTTGTGGCCGCCGTTGTTACTGCTGCCGTTACTGCTGCTGCTGCTTCTTAGGCAGCAGGAGGATGTGATGTACGGCTGTTGGATGCATTGTGGTTGTCCAAAACATCAAAAGGGATTCTGCAGAAGGCCTCCGCCCCCGTAACCCATTTCAACCCCAGCANTGGTTGTCCAAAACATCAAAAGGGATTCTGCAGAAGGCCTCCGCCCCCGTAACCCATTTCAACCCCAGCACAGACTGCTGCAGCAGCAGGCCATACACCCCCTGTCAGACAAAACGCAACTGAACATACATCTTAAGCGTACAACTGCAACGTAAGAAGCAGAAGCAGTAGCAGCAGTAACCGCAACAGCAATGCCAGAAGTTTTAGCAAGACCAGCATTACTAGCAGCGGCAGCAGGACAAGGAGTGCTAGCGACAGCAGCAGGATCAGCAGTAACAGTTGCAGCAGCAGCAGCAACTCACGTAATCGCTGGTGTATGCAGCAAGAGCGCCGTCAGATGAGAGGACGTACGGCCACCCTGAGAAAAGTTTACAGATCGCAATACATATACACGCATACACGCACATTTCCATATGCACATATCTGCATACAGATACCTATGCACATAGATAAGTATAAAAATAGACAAACACAAATATGTGTACCTACGTATGTATACTGTAAATGTGTGTATATATATTATTAACATATGCAGGTGCATAGGGGGGAAGCCACTCTCACCTGCAGCGAATTGTGCCTTCCCTACGGAATGCGTTGTTAAGGGGTTATCTCTGAAGATGGAGAAAAGGCGGAGGCAGCCGGAGGCGTCGAGGGACAGAAAGCAGAAGTCCATTCGCCCGGTGTTGAGAGACAAAACCCGAGAACGTTGTTCATACAGGCGCTACAAAAAACCGCAGCAGCACAGAAATGACGAAATCTCGCGCAACAAGAAAAAAAGAAGTCAACAGCAGCAGCAGCAACACATGGACGCAAATGCTGTGGGGGGCCGAGAAAAAGGAGATGGGGAGCACATGCTGAATAACAATAATGTTGCATTAATATGTTACAGTAAACAAATAATAACAGCACAATGACGATAACTGCAATAATAAAAAGGGCAGTATTCTTGGGATTTGTCCTTGCTGAACGGGAAACGGGAGACGTCGGCGACAACAACAGCAGCAACAGCAGCAGTAGCAGGCTAGTAGGAACCACCATTATATACACACATATATATGCATATACATATATACAACGGTAAATAGTGACAACTCCACTCACTCTACTACTGGGTAAGGCATACTATTATACGCAACAAATAATAACAACTGCAACACAATGGCGATGACAACAGGAACAACAGAGGCATTATTCTGCTCCCACTGATCCGATTATAATATAACGCCTATAGAAGAGAAAAAAGAACGAATTAAAAAAGCATTAGATAGACAAGCATTAGAAGGGAAGACAGGAATGAGGCCAACATATACTGACGAAGGGTTTGTCATGCGAAGGCNAGACAAGCATTAGAAGGGAAGACAGGAATGAGGCCAACATATACTGACGAAGGGTTTGTCATGCGAAGGCTCTGGAGGTTTGGTCGCCCCTGCTGCTGCTGCTGCCTCTTCAGTATAAAGGCTGCTGCGCTGCTGCTGCTGCCGCTGCTGCTGCAGCAGCAACGAACAAAACCTGAAAAATGCGTCGGCCACGCGAAAGGCTAACGGGGTACGCTCAAACAGAAAAAATGGATAAGGCGCATCCTGCTGCTGATGCTGCTGCTGCTGGTGTTTTTGCTGCTGCTGCTTCGGGGGGTCCGGGCTGCGGCTAATGCTGGGATGGACTCCTTCCGCTGCCTCTTCACCGTCGACCGCATGCAACAAGAGTTCGTCTTCTTCAGCAGCCGCGCTGCCGTCTGCATTGGGGCTCTCTGAAGGGTGTGCACCCCAGTCTGCTGCTGCTGCAGCTGCTGGTGCTGCAGCTGCTCCTGGTGCGACTTCATCAGGAGCTGAGCTTTGGTCCTCCTTGTTCTTCGCACCTGCCACACTTCCAACTAATCGCCGGAAGAGATTTGATTGCAGCAGCTTTGCTTTGCTTTTCTCTTTGGGTGTCACCGCTGCACTGTTCTGCAGACATCGCAAAAACAAAAGAGGCAGAGACCGCAGCGGCGACTCTGCTGCTGCTCCTCCTCCTGTTGCTGCTGCTGCTCCTGCTGGTGCAGGGGGACCCTCAGGGCGCTGGGAATCCCAACCCTCTGGGGAGGCAGCAAGGCCCCCTTGCCTCCTCAACAACCGAGAGGTAGAGCCCGAGCCAGATGCTGTTACTGATGAATGCTGCTGCTGCTGCTGAGCGTCTGTGCCCTTATAATTCTCGCAGGTGCCTGCGCAGCAGCTGAAGGCAGCTGCTGCTGCTTCTGCTGCTGCTGCCGTTTTGCTGCTGCAGAGCCCCATGACTCGAGCGCGGGAGGCGTAGTACTTGAAGAAAGACAAACGCAAATCAAAGACAGAAATAGCTTTGTCCCCAGCAACAACCAAAAAGAAATGCGAAGAAAAACAAGCCTGCTGCAAACGACGAGGCGCTGCCTGCCGATGAACCAAATACTCCTCCATGTAGCTCCGACGGGCTGCGCACCAACTGCAGCAGCAGGAACAGGAGCAGCAGCAGTAGCGGTTGTGGCACCAGCAGCAGGTACAACAGCAGCAGATGCGGCAGCAGCAAATGCAATAGCAGCAGGAGTGTGTCTGTAGCATGCCTAAGGTGAGCTTCTTAAGGGTTTAGGGTCTAGGGTTTGTGGAGGCTGCGCACCCATGACTCTCCTCAACCAGTCTCGAAGCGCCCCGCGCATCTACAACAAGCAACCAGCGCGTGTCCGCTGATGTATCAGTGCTGCAGCAGCTGCAGCAAAAGCACGCCGCAGCATACAGCAACAGGCGCTTCATTGTGCTCCCTCTTTACACTGTGTGAAGGTTTCTGGCTGAGAAAATGCAAGAAGGGTTTTGCTTTGGGGGCTGCATGCAGTACACCCCGTCTATGAAGCGCGATATGTGAATGGTGAGTTGTACGTACAGTACAAAGTCACCGTTAAAATCCAAGGCCGTCAGATTTGCAGCTTCNNCCCGGGGAGCCAAGGGCAAATGCCAGCGCTTGCCCCCAGCAAACAGGGGGGAGCAAAAACTGTAAACAGCTGCTGCAGTGAGCTTCTTTATGCATGCATGCAGGCCTAGGCGCATGTGTGCATGCAGGTCTTACTCAAGTCCATTATACAGGCGGCGCCTGTGCCGAGGAGGCACGCGCTGTGTGTTGGAGTGAACTGCAGCTGCTGTTGCTGCTGCTTCTCGTCGAGTGTGCATACACCTGCTGCCAGAGCGCATGCCCACTCCTTTTGTAGTTTTTTCTGCTCTTCAGTCAGAGGCAGAGCAGAGGCATCTTGGGAATTCGGCTGCTGCTGCAGCTTGCACAAAATCATTGCAGCAAGGTCGCTGCTGCAGTGTCTGTACAGCAGCAGCAGCTGCCCCGACTCGCGGCATCGCCGTAGCAGCCGCATGTTCATTGTTACAGAGTTGAAAGCACTGCGGTTGGCAAACAAAGACAGCTGTTCGCTCCCCATACAGCGCAGAGATGGCAGTTTCCACTGCACCAGCTGCAACATTAAACGCAGACACGAACCCTAAACCCTAAACCCTAAACCCCCAACCCTCAAGGCCAGCACTCACTGCAAGTTGTCGAAACAGCAAAAAACTGCATCTGGTAGCAGCAGCTGCTCGTGCAGTAGCAAGAGCAGCGACGGCACGTACGTCTGCTGCTCCTATTACTGCGGTGAGGTACGTGGTGTCTGTCCAGCACATCGCCACGCCATCGTCGCTGTAGGCCTGGGGCAGCAGCACCTCCCCTCTTATCAGATCTTCCTGCTGCTCCTGCTGTTGCTGCTGCCGTGGCTGCTGTTGTTGGGAGGCGGCAGCAGCATCCGTGGGTGAGTAGAAAAGAGAGAGACGCCCCAGTAAAGTGCCCGCGGCAACACCAACCCTTCTGTCAACATTCAGGCAGACAAAAGGGTCGCCTAGCAAGCAAGGCAGCAGCAGCTGTTGCTGACAGGCTCTCCTGTTGCTCGCTGCAGCAGCAAAAACCCTGCTCAGGAACCGGGAGAACCGCGTCTCCTCCCGCTTTCCCGCTGCAGGCACTGCAGCACAAAGGGGCTCCGTGCCCATCCTTATGTCCGTTGCAATATTTCTAACAGCCACTGAAGTAGGCGAATGGGGGCTGTTTGTGCTGCTGCCTCTTTGGCAAAACGTGGAGCTCATGAAACTGCGGGCGCTGCTGCTGCTTCTCCTGCTGCCACTCCTGCTTCTACTTCCGCAGCTTCCACCGCTTATGCTGCTGTTGCTGCTGCTAGTGGTAGTGATTGCAGGAGCCACAGGAATAGCCGCAGAGGCGTCGTCGCCTTGGGGCTGCCGTATAGCAACAGAAGAAGAATGAGGTAAAAGAATTTCTGATTTGAGGTTTACAGAGCGCGAACAATCTTTGGACGAATCATTCGGGGCTTTCGCCGCATCTGAGGGCAGTACCCCTCCATGGCTAAACAAGAGCATTCCCAATCACCACCAGCGCTGCAGCTGCTGCCGTTGCTGCTGCTGTTGCTGCTGCTGGCGTTGCTGCTGCTGTTGCTTGTGAAACAGCTTTGACTCCCTCTGAAGACCTCGGTGCCCCGGCTGCGGGCGCTGCGCTTCCTGATGCTGCTACTGTTACTACTGCTGCTGCTGCAAACGGTGTCGGCGCCTGCCCAAACCAGGTTGCGCTGGTCTTCATTTGGCAGCCGCTAGGGGCCCCGAGCTGCACGGCCACACGGCATACAGGCAAATACCTTTGAAATAAAGGTCCTCAAAGCGTACATGCTTGAGCTTTATTATAAAATGGGGTAGTTGTCCGTTAATTTGTTCAAAAAGCGCACCAACACGGATCACCGGACTTGCATTTGCAAGTCGAATGCGGAGGCGCGGCTTTCCGCGGAAAGNAGCGCACCAACACGGATCACCGGACTTGCATTTGCAAGTCGAATGCGGAGGCGCGGCTTTCCGCGGAAAGTAGTTGAAAAAGGAGCTCCACGAGAATTGATTTCGTTCCTGGATATTATTTTTTTTCATTTCGCAGACATTTTCTCAAAACTGCGGAGATGACCTGACGAATCTCAAATCATGATCGAAGCCGTCGTCGGCGCTCCCTCGCGGAGAGATATCCGTTTTCCACGATTCCTTTCCTGCCATTTATGCTTCATCGTCATCAAAATTAAGGTTGTACTAAAATTCATCAATTAAAAAGGCAATTAGTCATTATTTTTAGAAACTAGGTAAGCCCTGGGGGGTGTCTTGGCACCAGCGTTGAGGTGGACACCATAGCTGCGGGAGGCCCGGGGCTTTCAGGGGCCCCCCTTCCTCAATTTGATGCGAAAAGTAGTTGCTTGTAGTATCTTTGCAACATTTCCCGGGGGCTTTGTTCTTCTTCCGTTGAAATGGCAACAACACCCCCAACGAACAGTCCCAAAGTTATATTGCGACATGGGCTGTCTACACTTGGCGGATGTACTGCTAACTACGCACAGTTTGGCTACTGAGGACCAAGCAAGTGCTTAACAATCGTTTACGGTGTTAGTCCTTGAATAAAAATGTGTGATGGGTATACTTGCACGCGGGGTTTCCTCGCAGCAATAGTTGAAGCGTAGCATTGTAAAAAATGTTGGTATGTTTATCTCTACTTGGGTGCAGACTAGCTACTAGGNTAGTTGAAGCGTAGCATTGTAAAAAATGTTGGTATGTTTATCTCTACTTGGGTGCAGACTAGCTACTAGGGGCCAACCAATTGTTGAACAATAGCTTACAGTGCTAGTGAATGTAAGGAAAGGGTGTTTGGGTACGCTTGCATGTGAGGCTCCCTTGCAGTTGGTGTTGCAGCAAGGTATGGTGAGACTCATATCTAGCCGGCTACTCTCCGCAGCAGCTTCAGGCCTTTGGGCCACGGTTCTCAGCATACCTGAATACTGGATTGGAGGTCAGCTGGCTTTAGGGTAGTTATTACTCCCACTAAATAAGCACTCGAGTGCAGCTCTAGCCGGTCCCCTCCAATCGCGGAGCCTCGTTATACTTGGTAGCAGTGCATGGTTCAGAGGGGCGTGCCCCAGCTGCGGACATCACGCCCCACAACGTTACGATCTTATGCATAGCGGTTATTGGTGGTGAAGGCACCTCATCGAGGAAAAAACGAGAAAGAAACGTCTTGACGTCATCCCCACAAACTTTGTCGACCGTTTTCGAGCACTGGAGGGTGAGAAGGGCGACGTGGAGAGACCCAGAGGCTTGGCAGCTCATCGCATTGAAACGCCTTTAGTCCCCTAGTCCCATTCGATTTATGAATAACGTATCCGCCCGTGGTGACTGTCCGAATATGGCGGGTGGTGGGGTTCGTTGGCAGTAGAGGGACTCCCTGTTTACCGGGAAATGTACTTACGTCTCCAAAATGCGGGAAATTACTACTGATTTTTTATGAATATTTTTACTCAGAGGGAATGTACAACAATGGCGGCTACATTTGAGCATCTGCGCCATTCACGCTGAGCCCACCCGGCACTTGGAAGCGTTTCAGCACGCACTGCGATGTATGTTTGTCGCCATGCCGGCGAGGCAATACTCTCCGGAAGACAACACTACTAAGCTCTTCGTGACAGGCAGCAATGAACGGGTGTACCTCCAAGCTCTAGCAACGGCTTTTGCATCACCCACGCTAAGAGGAGGTGTATCGGTATCCAACGAAGAAATTAGCGAACAAGCCGCAATGCAGCGAAGAGAAATTGCGGGGACGACGGAGAAATGCGTGCGTTCCGTCGTGGTGGTTCTCTACAAACAGCTGTTCTAAGAGGCTCAGTATAATTAACGCCAGAGGAACAGTACAAGCAGGCATAGATGGCGGAGAACTTTTCAGACTCATCCTGCTGGATGGAACTTCCAGCAAACGGGCCACCCGCTGGACGCAAAATACATTGCATCGAATTCACTCTTGGACCAGCCCAAAGTTTGTTCGTAGGAGCATGCAGCCCTTACATCTTGAACAGCAAGGCAGGCAGGAAGCCAGCGGTGCATCGTCATGCAGAGTTTCGAAGCTTTGTGTCGCTTGGTCCAGCTATTGTAAAGCCTTCTTCATCTACAGCGGATTCTGCAACGAACGCCCTCGACTATAGCCAGTATACAGTGAGCCAAGGGCGTGCTTGACTTAAGAAAGCACCTNGGTAATCTGCAAGCACACCTGCCGGTCCCCATGGTGATGCTGCACCTTGCGTTTGATGCTGAATTTATCTGCTTGGCGTTATTCAGGTGTCATGTTAAAAATCGTGTCTATTCCTGCTTATTTGGCCAGTTATTGAGCTTTTTAATGAACCACGACATAGCTGCGGAGGAGCACCAGCTGTAGTGCGGGGCACTACGATTGGGTTGTTCTAGTGGTTCTATTATGTATGTTAGATTCACCTTTCTCCCTCTTAGATGGAAATTCACATTTCATAATTAGGAACACGGTTTACCGAGATTAGGAGTAAGCACCCAGCAACTCGAGCACGCAGGCAGACCTGGAGGCCGGCAGCTGTGAAGCTGCTGCCGGTTGGTTGTTGCGGACAACGGCGGCGTCAGGAACCGACCCTGGAGGGCCCTAAGTGCCTTGTGGGTGTAGGCTACACGGACGTCCAGAATTTTCTACTTATCGCTTGTTCATCAGCTGAAACCTATTCGATTCGTGACAATTAAATTATTTTACACGTTTCGTCATCTCTGTTGACCACTCGGGCCTTCATTCCCATTNGATTCGTGACAATTAAATTATTTTACACGTTTCGTCATCTCTGTTGACCACTCGGGCCTTCATTCCCATTTCCTACGTGCCCTGGCTCCCGTATAAATCTCCTGAAGGGTGTCAGGCCTAGTTGTTCGTACTTAATTCCCAGTGTTACGGGATATTCTATACGATTTTAGCTGGTTCGTGTATTCTAGAACTTGGAAGTTTCGGCTTTTGTCCCTTCTGAAGGGTTTTCACCCTTTTCAGCCTGCCCTTCTGGAACTTCTCTGAAAAACGCAGTTGATAACAATCTGTCAGTAACCTACACATAGGATTGCGTGTGTTTATGAATATACTTTTTGCGTTTACATTAATCTGGAGAATTAGCGACGTGAATTCCCACATGCGGCAGCCTGCCGAGCAGACTGGCAGTGCGCCGGTACAGGTGTTAATGCAGCGGTCACTATACCGCCGCCGTCGGAATGAAACACGAAGGAAAATAGCCAGCAAGGTGCAAAAAGTTAGCTTAGCTTTGCTTGCCCTAGTTGAATTAATACGTTTAGGTCCAATTTCCTATTTTTCTACTTGTGGGCTCTTACTTATGGGCGCGCAGGGCCGTTGGACCGTGCAGCGGTGTAACCATAGGCAGGCCACTAAGACGCCCTTCAACGGGGCAAAAATCGAATTAAAATACGCTTAGTTAGTAATTGACTCAAACTGAAAGCATTCAAGCATGAACACATCTAAGGAGCTTTCTAATGGAGTACTGGTTCAGATGAGAAAACCGAAAGGTCACCCGGTCCCGTTCGCAGCTACATTCCAGGGGGTAACACCTGGAAGCGTAGACGACTGAATGGGCATTGTTTCATTGAAATTCCACACACGATTCATTTTAAGTTTGATTACCTGCGTAAATTGTGGTGAATATTCCCGAAGACATTTGAATGCCACCACCTCTCTGCGTTGAGTGGTCACCGGTCTGTGCCGGTCAGCATGCAAAGCGCGCTCCATCGTGTTCTAGATATTAGCGAAGCCTGAGGGTCCTTCAGATTGAATTATGGTACATACTGACAGATTTGTGTTGCTCCCTTCTTGCTGCCGTTCGATGCGCCTGCTGGCGTCCTGTTCAGTAGGGAGGTGAATGGGACTGCTATCTATTGAACAAACCCGAGGCAAAACACGAGGCGCGGAGGTCTCCCCTCCTGCGAGCCTGTGGCTTCTACAGAGAGTTTTTTAGTGTAATGGTCTTCACATGGACAAATCAAACCTGCAAAGCTGCAGATCTACGGCAAAATGGGGCGGCAGCGCCAGCGGCTGGATTCCGCTGTGTTGTTGCATCCGACAGTAGCTCCTCTCGGAGGGTCCCTAGGGGGACTCGAGGTCCGCTCTTTGCCTGGAGAGGGAAATGCAAAGGTTGCGCAAGACTCCCGGAGGTCATTTATACGTGAAAATGGAAGCTTCAGCGACACGACCGACCACTACGCACAAGTTGACTGGACACCCTGGGACTGCTGCCGNAAAATGGAAGCTTCAGCGACACGACCGACCACTACGCACAAGTTGACTGGACACCCTGGGACTGCTGCCGATGTGCAGCAGAAACGCGAGATGCCATGTTAGAAAAGGTTGCAGATGCATTCGGGCGATATGCTGTTATCGTTTACCACCATCCTCTCAAGGTACAATGTGACGAATTTCTAGGGCTTGGGGTGTGGGGTCTAGGGTTCAGGGTTGAGGGTTGAGGAATATGGGGTGTGTATTGTTGTTTGATGCATGCGATTCAGTTCATTGTGTTCAGCGCGTTGCTGTGTTTGAGCCTCTCCGTCGGTTTGCTATTCAAAACAAGTACTACGGACGGCGTGCTGCAGTACACCATCCCCCATAGCCAAGCCCAGCAGGCACGTTTAGATTGTTCATGATATATACAACAAGAAACTGCCACACAGAGCGACGGCACATTAAACCTAGAGTCCCTCCATCAAGAATGTATTCGTTGTTGGTGTTTAATCTGTAATACTTACCATGGCCGTTAGAATGGTTTCGTCACACTACGCTCAACTGTGTGTCCATATTGCGCATCAGAGCGGACTGCGCTCTTATCTCGCACCCATGCAGCCCTATGTGTGTGCCTTCTTGCCTCTTCGCTTCCTACTTCGATTTGCGGCTCGCTAGTTTGTCTGCCCTTTGGTCTTGCGGTGTCCTTACACTTCTTGCCTCCTTGTCCTTATGCCGCGAAAACTATCTGCCATAACTTCTAGCAGTAGCCGTGTTTGTTTTCCTCTGTCGAATTGTCGATTTATTTGGGCTTGTGAAGACCTTTCGTGCGTTGTCAGGATGCAGATGAATATCGCATGCTGTTTCAGGGCAACGTGACCCGCAGCGAGGTGATCCTGATAGCTGCTAACGACGGAATGAGCAACCTATTGGAAGCCTCCTTTTTAAATGCAGTTTGGGACTTGCACATGAAGATATTGGATATCAAAGTGACAGCGGAAGAGGCAGGTGACGCCCTCGCCGACGCAGCGGTTGCCGTAGCAGAGACTGGCGATACGCTGGAGCTCCCCAGTCGACGGCTGCAGTCTGTTGCATTTTCTAACAGCGGAAAGCTCGGTGAAGGAACGCAACAACGCAGCGGAAGCCAGAGTGCGGATACAAAGCAACAGCAGGTGCTAGCACTCAGAAGACTCGCTTGGGGCGACCCGGCAGCAGTTGTGCAGCAGCACTTCGTGGAGGAACAGCTCAGGCAGCAGATGCAGCAGCAGCAGCAACAGAACCAGTGGACACCTACGGGGGGAGGAGGTCGCAGACGTCGCGAAGGTCAGGCAGCCGCTGCTTCTACTCAACAGCAGCAACCTCAGCAAGCGCTCACACACCTGCAGACGCAGCCCGAGCCTGTATGCGACCCTGAACGGGAGCTGCCAAGAGTGCGGATAACAGGCTTAGCCTGTCGACCTCCCTTACCAGCAGGGGAGTACGCGTTTCAAAATTTGTGCTTTAAAGACTCCACTGGAGCCTGTGAAGCCCCTGACGGCATCATCTTCGTCTACGGACACAAACGGTGGGGCGCAGGAATTCGAAGAAAGTCCCAGATTAGCACTGCTCTTAAAAATAGACTCAGCGGTAGCAGCAGTGAGTAGCAGTGCCATTACGGGGCGAAAGCATATATATCTGAAAAAATATTCACGGAGAGACCGATGCTGAGCAACAAATAATAATTAAGGTAACGCCGAAATCGATAGTACCGTTAAACATCACGAATTCAGTTGTCGTGTCTTAAGCACTTGTGTTCGATTCACAAGGAGATGTTGGGCCTGTATTAAGCACTGAGGAACAACACTTAAGATACTGTTAATGGAGGGGTTGTGAGGTAAATGGGCTGTTGCCCCATTAGGTTTTGTCGTATTGTATGTCTCACGATCCTCACGTTTAACCCTCCATCTGTTCTCTGGCTGTTGAAGCTTCGCGTCACCGACTCTGCCTTACAGCTAAAATAGCCTCTTAGTCTTCCTTTACAAAACGGAGCCCCTTTTTTGCCCTTGTTCATCTGCCAATCGGCACTCCTTCCTGTATGGATCACTCCCGCACTATCAACGCGATTGCGGCTCCTTATTACTCATCTCCTCTAGTTACTACGTAACATTTCAACATGGTTTTAGCACTTTCGTATTTTGATTTGCGCAGGGAGTTCGGAAGTATGGTGGAATACCCACTTCACACCTCCTTTCTTCTGGCTCGAGGCTTCCCTACAGATATGCTTCTCTCAACTAGAGGCCTTCGTCTGACGCCTTCAGGCCGCTACGCCACTGCAACTGCAGCCCTGTCCCTCAGGCAAGTGCTCCCACTCTGCAAATCCTGCAATCTAAGCCCTAGAATCTGAGGGCAGGAATGAATCCTCTAGCTTGAATGGATACTATTGCAACCAGAGAGCAGCCACGACATTGACCGTCACATACATACTTTACCTGTGTGCTGCATCTCCCTGTGTTAGCTAAAGTCTCAGCTCACTTTGCTCACCTATTGTTTCCTCCGACCCTCAAACGTGAACCTCAACAACGACTAAAACAAAGTGTTCTATGATGCCGTTCAGCTTGCAATGAACTTCGGCTTGGTTTTAGTGTTAGAAGATCTGTGCAAGGCTTAACTTCATATGCAACGCCTCTCCTTGCGCCACTCCAGTGCTGGGCCACCACTCGATAGTGCTCAGCTCGGCACCATTTGCACTCGCATTGTTCTAACCTTTATTGTAAAGGGCGAACACTACATAGCTCATGCACTTCGGGCCGTAAATCTTTTAAGTTCTGTCAGGTGCCGCTTGACAATATTTGGTGATGCTTGTGCTCCCTCTTAGCGCGGAGTGGTGTTGCCTGCTGCTTCGAAGAGTTGAAACTGTCCTAGCGTGATAGGTGCTGAACGGCACTAGGCACCGACGGTCGTCAATGTTCAATTGTAGTGCTTGATGCTGCATTGCGTTAGACGCCAAGTTTAGTAGCGTGAGTTTTTGCGTATTGCGAAGCGTTGTTCAACACTCTAGCGGAGTCCCCAAGGGTTTCCAGAGTTTTTAGGCAATACGAAGAGTATATTGGTGGGTTTAAGCGTCTCAAGGGTAACCATGCACAGCTTATTTGTGTTACCGCCTTATTACTGAATTTGTTAAGGGTCCGAAGTGTCATATAGTACTTCAGCGTCATCCGCTAAAGTACAATGTTGAATGGCTTTTGGTCCATATAGCATTTTTACGCCTTGCTGACCGTTGAATCCTGCTGGAAGGCGGTAGGTGTTGCTCGCTCATGCTTGGGACTGCCGTTTAATAGGAACAAATATTTGACCGCACTGCGGTGTTCAGGTACCAAATAACAGATGATGCGAAGCTGCGTCCATTTGCTTTGCGGTGGGAAAGGAAGCTACAACAACTGCTACAGACGGAGAAGCTCCCTGGAGCCACGATGGGGCTTAAAACCGAAAGGAGCCTCTGTAAGACGAACCAGATACCCGCTGACTACAGACCCTAAACCGTAAACTCTAAACCAAAACTCCGCCATGGACGCAGCAAAAGGCAGTATTTAATTTTAGTACCCACGGGTGAAGGTTCAGAGATGCGGTTCAGAAGGCTTGGGGTTCCGGTTATGCATTGAATTTCATCCTCCGGGTCTAGGGCTTGAGAAGCAAGGTTGTCCAGTGTTTGCGATCTGATGCAGCGGACGAATTGGCTGCGAGTTCTTCCGCGGGTCCCGGGGGAGAAGTGATGCTGATAGCTGCCGCAGGCTCATTGATTGGGGTGTATGTGTGGGTTGTGAACTTTTNGGGGGAGAAGTGATGCTGATAGCTGCCGCAGGCTCATTGATTGGGGTGTATGTGTGGGTTGTGAACTTTTCGCGTTCACATTTGCGGTCGAAGGCCATCGTAGCCTTGACAGGAGCAGGCGCCGCCCTTTTGGGGTACCTTGGGGGGGCAGGCGTGTGTTTTATGTCCGGTGTTGTTAGCACAGGAACCGCTGCTGCCGCTCCGCTGCTAGTTGTTGGCATAGGAGTAGACGATACTCTTGTGCTGCTGCAGTCCTACAGCCTAACGGTACACAAGCGCTCCGCAGCCGACCGCCTGCAGTTGACACTCCGCGACAGCGGCGTAGGTATAACAATAACGACCTTGACGAACCTTCTAACATTTGGCATCGGCGCGTTCAGTCCGTACCTTGCAATCAAAAGCTTCTGTCTCCTGTGTCTCGCCGGCCTCTTCTTGGGATACGTCATGTGCCTCACCTTCTTTCTAGGCTTCCTCGCCCTCGATGCCAAGGCAGAAGCAGCTGGGCAGGTCATGGGCATCTTTCGGTGCTGCCCCATGAAAATCATGAGGGATTCTGCGTTTACGAAGACGCATGCGGAGCAGCAGCTGAAGCACCAGCACCAGCATGAAGGGAAGGGGAAGCAACGAAGGCAGATGCCTACGCTCAAAGGCCTGCCCATGCTCCAGTATGTTGATAAAACGCGCTTGCCTGGAGCTGACGCCTCGGCACTCTCCGCCTGCGCCAGCGACATATTTCAGTGCATTACAATGCAGGTGGAGGCGGCGCTGCAGCAGCAGCAACAGCAGCGTCTACTTGAAGCGGAGACTCGCCGCATACGAAAGCAGCAGACCTCCAAGAAGAAAAAACAACGGAAAAAGGCCCCGGCGAGACGCAGGAAGAACGCAAAGACACCCCTCACTAGCACGTCCTCAGGAACAGATGACAAAAAGCAGGACGATACATCCAGTGACTCGGAGAACTGTAAGAAAAAGACAAGACAACGAAAACAGCCGGCGAGGAAAACGAATGCCAGGAAAAAGAAACTAATGGAATCTAGCAATAGCAGCAAAACCACCAACAGCATGAGCAACAAAAGGAGTACCAAGAGCTTCAGGAGCAGCCGCAGCAGTGCCAAGAAGCAGCAGCAACAACAACGACAGCGCCGCGCAAAGGCTCTCCGGCCCGCTCTAAAAGGGCGCCGCCAGCAGCAGCAGCAGCAGGAGCAGGAGGAGCAGCAGGAGCAGCCGAAGCAAAGTGAAGCTCCTGAACCTGGTGCGGGAGTGCAGGGTGCCCTAGAGGCAAATAGCAGACTAGCAGCTGCAGCGGTAGCCGCAGCAGCAGGCATGTTCGCCTCGGGTGCGAACTTGGACAGGAGTGGATCGAAAGCAGGAGGCGTTTCGGTGAGGCCGGCAAGGCCTCGAAGGACGACAGTACACTTCTACAGGAAGACCTCCACGGCCCCTCTGACAGCAAGCCTTCCCCAGCAGCAGCAGCAGCCGCATCAATCAGGCGAGTGGCATGACCAGGTGGTGGTGAATTTGTGCGTGGGCTCTGGCTCGGCAGTAGTAGCGGCAGCGGCAGAAGCAGCAGAAGCAGCCTTCAATACTGCCGGCCGCAGCTGGTCAGGGGAGAGAATTGCTCGTCTGCAGCTCATGCAGCGGCTTGGTGGCGATGGCTTAGCTGAGCCCCAGGGCAACGTAGGGAGGGGCCTGAGGAAGGTGCTCGTTCGCTTTGGTGCCCGCCTGCTCATGAACCCTTTCTTTAAACTCATGCTTCTCATCGTCTTCACTGCTGTCTGCGCGACCGCTATTATCGGGTGCTTCAAAATACAAACGGGATTAGATCCCAGGAGCCTCACTAAGGACGGCACGATGCTGAAAGTGACTCCCACACCCACCCACATGCGCACATACACACACACACACACACACACNACACACACACACACACACACACGCACACACGCACACGCACATACGCACACAGACACACACACGCACACAACAATGATACCCTCGCCAGATTCCACCACTTCCTTCTGCTTTGGCCTATTTGCTATAAATTAGAAATGATAGGTAGGCAGCATATGCGTAATACATAATCGCGCTGGAGGCGGCGTCTGAGCACCAAACCACCATAAAGAATCGCGAGAAACGCCGCCTACCCAGCGCATCTGTTTCTGTGTTTTTTTGTCCTCCTTTGAAGTAGTTTGTGTTCTTTCGCAGTTTCACATTTGTCTGCTTTTATTCTCCTCTATAAGCTGTGGTTTTCCGTGTTTGCCTGATTTTGTCTTACGCTATTTGCGATTGCATTTAGAGCTTCTTTGACATGCAAGAGAGATTCTTCGGCACTTACGGCGACCCAGTGATGGTTTTCTTCAGCCATCCAGAAAACGTTTGCTCAGCTGCATTCAGAGTGAGACGATACAAATGAGCTACGGCTGCAGCCTCTGCACTTGTAGCATTTTTGTGCATCATGCGGCTCCGTGAGACGATGCAGAGAGGCTTCTGCCGGTTTTAGCAGGGGACACATTTGATCACAAGGGAGTTGAGCCCTTTCGGATCCCCTTCGCCGACATCAGTTCAATGCGCATTGCAGGTGGAATATCAGAAGCTTCATGAACGGCTGAAGCAGCAGAGCTACACTATGGAGGTCCACGATGGTCTCTACATGTTTCTNAGAAGCTTCATGAACGGCTGAAGCAGCAGAGCTACACTATGGAGGTCCACGATGGTCTCTACATGTTTCTTCAATCGCCGTTAGCTCGCAATGTGCACGAACAGAGCGCGACAACATGCATGCAGATGTATGTCAGGCTCTCTTTCTCGATTTCATTCACCGGAATGTAGAACTAGCCTTTGCACCACTAATAAAACGATGCAGTGCTAGATATTTGCACAAGGATAACAATGATGCTCCGGAACACTTCTCTCCAGGGAATGTCCTCCTTGTATCGGCCATCCACTCCTCCAAGCTCAGTTTCAGCTGTATTTCGTGAGCGTTCAAGCGCCTCTCACCAGTGCATGCATTTTACGTTCTCTGTATGTTTTTGTGAAGCGCGACACTGTGTTGCGTTGCTTGCATTGCGCTATGCTGCATGTTCGTGCTGCCAGGCTGTATGCCTGGCTTCAAACTCCCTTTGGCTCCAGTTTCACAGCCTTCTTCTCATGGAGCAGCGGCTTCAGACTGAGAGCCTGGGCGTTGATGTTGGTGCCCAAGTACTTCCCGAGTACACAAGAAAATAGCAACTTCATGCACCAGCTCAGGTACGCCTTGACCCCTGGACGCTATGCCCTAAGCCCCAGATCACGCGTGCCCCAGATTTCAACTAACCCAACAGCACTTGCAGATATGCATAATCTCGTTTTGAGGTGTTCGCGCTGAATCCTATATCACTGATATTAAACCATCAAGACAGTTGCCGCTGCCTCCGAAACCTCTGGAAGTTTCCATTCCAGTTTAGCGATGGGGGTGTGCTTGCGTTGATGTGTGTCATGTTTCTTCTGAATGCGCCTTCGGCTTTTTAGGGCGGATTTGGCGCAGTTTCCACTTCTACAGGGAGCGGCCTACAACCGGAACTTTGTTTACTTCGAAAGCGATGATGCGATTGTACCCCAAACCGTCAGCAGCTTGGCCAGTGCTGGCTGCGCTGTGATTGTTGTAAGTTCGTCAACTCAAATGGAGCTTCACACAGGCAGAGCTCTACAGTGGTATTGAATTGAGACTTTCGCACACACTCCATAGAGACAGTTACAGTTGGACTGTTTGAGCTGAGAACAATAAGAGGCCTCTTTAGACATCGGTGAAGCACGCAGCTGACATTAACAACACATTTTGTTGCTTTGTGTTCTGTTGTGTCCTACGGCGACTTCACAGGTTTCGCTGTTCCTGTTGCCGTCTCTGCGCGGAGCTATCCTTGTAGTGGGAATACTGCTAGTAATCGATATTGTTATCTTGGGATTTATGGCGCTTTGGGGTTTGCCCCTCAATTTGCTCACAATGGTGAACCTCACAATATCTATAGGTGAGCCAATAGGTTGAGGACTGCTGTTTGAGGGGAATCTGAGCACACTGTAGAATATCCAAGACAGTTTAAAGGACGTACTCGAAGCTGACTTAAGGAATGTTTTGTTACCGTACAACCATTGAATGCAATTAGAAAAAAAGAGTGTGAACTAAAGCAGAATGCATATAGTAAGGATTGCAGTTGAAAGATTAGAGCATAAAAGCGCACATCTAAAGGCACAGACGCTTTCCGCTGTGAGTACACAACCCTGCCTTCCAGTTACAGTGAAAGCGTCTATGCACTGCAGATGCTCCTGTAAAATTGTTTCAAACAAAAGGAAAGGTTTGTTTAGCTTGTGTGTGGATGTTTTGATGTCACTGAGAGGCGCTTAAAACGCGTGTAAAATGTGCTGCAAATGCACATGTTGAAGGGAGCCTTTATCTCTTCGACTGTGGTTGACCTAATTTTACGTTCTTCTTCAGGTTTGCGTTTAGATTAATACTTGTGATCATGTGTATTTGCGTATATGTTTGTATTCAACCCTGAGCTTGAATTTGTCTCCCTGTTGGTCTGTGTGGCTGTGCATCAAGGGTTTTCTGTGGACTACGCGACACACACGACCCACGCATTTTGCCACTGCATGGGTCAGAAGAGAGGCCTCCGCGCATTTGAAGCGGTGTTGCTTGTAGGAGGTCCACTGTTGCACGGTGCTCTGTCTACTCAGCTAGCGGTTATTCCCCTAGCCTTTGTCGACAGTCCAGTGCTTTCTGTGTTTTTCAAAATGACGACACTGGTGATAATCGTGGGGGTTACGCACGGGCTGATGCTGCTTCCCGTGCTGCTTTCCCTCATTGGCCCCATGCAGCAGTCGCAACAGAAAATGGTGCAGCAGCTTCTGGCGCTGCAGAAACAGTATGACCGACTAGAGGAACAGATCGTTGCATGCGGAGGGAGCAGAGAAAACCCCAGACTGAAAAAGCAAAGGAAAGCTCTACGCCGCCTCATCGAGCAGCAGGAACAGCCGCCCGAGACAGCTAGAGATGCCTGTCTCGAATTTGCGAAGGGACTCTGCCCTGACCATCCCAAAAACGTATTTTTAAGAAACAGACAAATCCGCAACTGGGTGCAACAAGAAAAATAATGTTATCGTGTTCACTTCATTCAGAGAAGGAAAAGGCGCAGCACAAACGCGCTGGTCGCCATGAAAAATCGAATAATAGTGAGAAAAGGCTCAGCTCTTCTAGGGCAATTCAGGGCAGGCTTGAAGTGGAAGAAGCGCGGCTTTTGAGCTCTGTCTTCTTCTTGTTCATATTGATGAGGCGATTACTTATAAATTTATTCGTGTGGAGAGCCATACCTGCATCTATACCCATAAGCACGTATTCCATTCGGATTACGCGCCAAATGCCTCAGAAATCGGACGGTTGCAATATAGCGAACCCTCCCTCTCCCCCAAAGTTCATGGGGCGCATCAATAGTCTTTAGGGTTCAGCGTTTGCTGTTTTGGGGTTAACTTAAAAGGTTTCAATTCGATAGTTTCTCCTGTTCCTCTCTTCACTTCCCCTTGGAGGCTGCAGACGATCGGCGGAGGCTGCACAGCACTAAGTTTCTTTTTCTCTCTTGTACTCGCTGCGGGAAAATGACCACAGCTAGGATAGGATATTGAGCTTTATTCCACCTTTCTCTTCCTCGGCAGCCTTTTGTAGACGGGCGGAGCTCTGAAATAGTGTCCAGGTTTGTTTATGGGTATTCTCCACATCGTGTCACCATGTAAGCACAAGCTGCAAATACCTTCTTGACACGGGAGATAATGTACCTGCACGGAGAGTTTGTAGGACACCTACCCGAATTTCCAGAATTGGAAGTGTCTGTTGTTTCCTTCCGCAGCTGGGCCGTATGCTTGATTGTTGCAGCGGCGACAGCTTCGAGAGTTGATGCAGCAGCTCTTTTAGCGGTTCCTGATGTGCCAGCTGCTAGGGGTGCAGCAGATGCGGCTGCAGCAGCAGTCGCCAGCATGTCATGCTGCTGCTGCAGCAGCGCGTGCTTCTGCTGCTGCTGCAGCGCCTTTGCCAGCAGTTCAAAAGGCCCCTTTTCCTTAGATGGAGGCGAAACAGCCTTAACTCCTGCGTCTACTAGCAGCTGACATATTCGTGCGTACCCCAAAGTTGCCGCTACATGGAGCGCTTTTTCTGCCGCTTGTCGCTCATAAACTGCCTGGTAAACATACACAGTAACGCATAGAAAATTGTCCAGGCTTCAAATATTAGTAGTCCGAGCTGTCTTGATATGCTTGCTAGCTGCAGTAGGAGGCTATTCCAATACAGTAAACCCTATCCCTGGGGCGCACGAGTTGCAACACTCGGC